TCTGAACATTTTATGTGATTTTAATCGGTTATTTCGAAATTGTATCAATTAAAATACTAACTGAAGGTTTTTAAAACTTCCTTTAATGAAAACAATCGGTTATTTTGAAGTTATATTAGTTAAAAACCTGTTATAAAAGTGTGAAGAACATCTTAGTTGATAAAGCTTATGTTCTTTTAGTTAAAATAGTTGATTAAGAAAGCTTCTATCAAAATACTTTGTTTTTCACCATCAAAACATTTTTAGAGGCATTTTGCAAAATCTTTTAAGTGAAGAAACCTCATGCAGCAGAAAGATAAAAATGATTATACCTAAGAAGACACACTAATCCCTCTACTCTTTTATCCAAGTGACCTTTGACTGCCACAAAGTAGCTTTTGACTTCATCAAATCAACAAGATCTTTGCCAAAGTAATTCAATAAGATCTTCATTACTTTCATTAATCAGACCTTTTCTTAAGAAAACTCCCTATGAATTATTGAAAGGTAAAAAGCCTAACATAAACTATTTTAGAGTATTTGGAAGTAAGGTTTTTGTTTTAAACAATGGAAAAGAAAATCTTGGAAAGTTTGATTCCAAATCAGATGAAGGTATATTCTTGGGGTATTCATTAAATAACCATGCTTATAGAATCTTTAACAAAAGGTTAAATACTGTAGAAGAATCTGTCCATGTTATATTTGATGAGACTAACCCAAAAATGCAGAATATTTCTGAGTATAGCATAGAAGATGATGTTTTAACTGATAAAATGTTTCAGTTAAAACTGCCAGAATCAACAGCTTCTCAAAAAAAGGTTGAAGAGGTTGAAGAAACTGAAGAACAGCTGCCTAAAGATTGGAAAACTCCAAGAAATCTTTCAATAGACAACATTAATGGTGAAATAAATCAGGGAGTTTCCACTAGAAGATCTCTAAATAAATTTTGCAATCACATGGCATTTGTATCTCAAATTGAACCAAAAACCATATCTGATGCATTAAAGGATAATAACTGGATTAATGCTATACATGATGAATTAAATCAATTTACTAGAAATGAAGTATGGGAATTAATTCCAAAACTAGATAATGCAAATATTGTAGGTACAAAATGGGTTTATAGGAATAAAATGGATGAAAATGGTATAATCACTAGAAACAAGGCAAGATTAGTTGCTAAAGGGTATAATCAGCAAGAAGGAATTGATTTTGATGAAACATATGCTCCAGTTGCTAGATTAGAAGTTGTTAGACTTTTACTTGCTTATGCTTCAATAAAAAGTTTCAGGTTATTTCAAATGGATGTCAAAAGTGCTTTCTTAAATGGCTACTTGAATGAAGAAGTTTTTGTTACACAACCACCTGGTTTTGAAGATCATATTCATCCAGAATATGTTTATAGATTAAAGAAAGCTTTGTATGGTCTCAAACAAGCTCCAAGACAATGGTATGAAAGGTTGAGTACTTTTCTCATATCAAAGGGATATCAAAGAGGTTTGGTTGATAAAACTTTATTCTTAAAAAAATTGAATATTGATGTAATTCTGGTTCAAGTATACGTTGATGACATCATATTTGGAGCCACTAATGAATCTTTATGTAAAGATTTTATCAAAGATATGCAGGGAGAATTTGAGATGACTATGATGGGGGAACTCAACTACTTTCTTGGATTACAAGTTAAACAACTTAAAGAAGGAAGTTTTCTTCATCAATCTAAATACTGCACAGAACTTTTGAAGAAATTTGAGATGGAACATTGCAAAGAAGCATCAACGCCTATGTCCACAAATTGCTATCTTGATTCTGATGAAAAAGGAAAAGTTGTTAATGAAACTAAATATAGAGGACTTATTGGTTCTTTACTCTATCTAATAGCAAGTAGACCTGACATTATGTTTAGTGTTTGTATGTGTGCCAGGTTTCAATCTGCACCAAAAGAATCACATCTTACTGCTGCAAAAAGAATCCTCAAATATCTCAAAGGAACTTTAAATGTTGGGTTATGGTATCCTGGTGAGTCCAAACTAAATTTAATTGGATACTCTGACTCAGATTTTGCAGGGTGTAAGCTTGATAGGAAAAGTACCAGTGGTACCTGTCATCTCCTAGGAAGTAGTCTAATCTCTTGGCATAGTAAAAAGCAATCATGTGTTGCTCTTTCTACAGCTGAAGCAGAATACATTGCAGCTGGAAGTTGTTGTGCTCAATCTCTTTGGATCAAATAATAGCTTGAGGATTACAGTTTAATTCTCAGAAAAATTCCTCTCTTATGTGATAACACAAGTGCCATTATGTTAACTAAAAACCCAATTCAACATTCTAGAACAAAACATATAGAAATTAGACATCATTTCATTAGAGATCATGTTTTGAAAGGTGATTGTGAAATTTTCTTTATAGAAACTGAAAAACAACTAGCAGATATTTTTACAAAACCTCTTGCTCGTGATCGGTTTTACAAAATTCGCACTGAATTAGGAATCTTAGATGCATCAAACATTTCTTAGTTTTTCAAAACTGGTTTTTTTAATCGATAAAAACAAGCTTTAAATCGATTAAAAGCACTTATACAACATTTTTCTTACTGTTTTAATCGATTAAATGTCGATTTAATCGATTATATCAACTTATGTTTTAAACTTTCAAATTTCATCACTGTTTTAATCGATTAAAACTTTGTTTCAATCGATTAAAACCATTAACAAGAACTTTTTAATCGATTTTGTCTTGTTTTTAATCGATTATTACTCTGGGAAGAAAAATTAAAGGCTTTAGTTAATGGTTGTTCTTGTAACATGCTACTAAAGCATGATTCCCTTATCTTTACACGTATTAATTGTATTCAGTACAAACGTGTTAATGAAGATAAGTTTGAATCAACTTTGATTGATCTTTAAATGAGTAAAATATCTTGTTCTTACTGTTTTTCAAAAACTAAACTTTGCCATGCATTGTATTTGATTTGTTCCTCTGTTCCCTATTTTTTATGAAGCTAAAAGGGGGAGAAATATTGCTTTGCTTTTATAATTGATTTCTCTTATTTAGGGGGAGTAGCAATATAGGGGGAGAAATGGGAAAATCATTATTTTTTGATTACTCACTAATCTATATTATCAAGTGACTTCCTTTGTAGAGTTATTATTCAAAGTGGTGTTTGTCTTCATCAAATAGGGGGAGACTGAAAGTGATGAAGATCTTATTGAAATACTTTGACAAAGATCTTGTTGATTTGATGAAGTAAAAAATGAAGTCAAAGACAACTTTGTGGTAGTCAAAGGTTACTTAGATAAAAGAGTAGAGGGATTAGTGTGTCTGCAGCTCTGCTTAGGTATAAACATTTTATCTTTCTGCTGCATGAGGTTTCTTCATTTAAAAGATTTTGTAAATGCCTCTAAAAAATGTTTTAACGGTTAAAAACAAAGTATTTTGATAAAAGCTTTTTTAATCAACTATTTTAACTAATAGTATATGAGCTTTATCAACTAAAATGTTCTTCAAACTTTTATAACAGGTTTTTAACTGATATAACTTCGAAATAACCGATTGTTTTCATTAAAAGGATGTTTGAAAACCTTATGTCAGTATTTTAACTGATACAGTTTCGAAATAACCGATTAAAATCACTTAAAATGTTCAGGGAAGTGTTCTGGCAATATTTTAATCGATATAACTTCGAAATAATCGATTAAAACCACTTGGAGTACTTGTTTGATCGATCAGAATAAGCATATGACCGATCAGAACCGGATATGATCGATCAGAATTGAGTTATGACCGATCAGAATTATTTTAATCGATTAAAATTGCGTTTCAATCGATTAAAACAACTTAAGAAAATTTGTACTAAGTGTTTTAATTGATTAAAACAGATTTTTATCAGTTAAAATCACTTGGAAAAGTTTATAAGAATGTTTTGCAGTATTTTAATCGATTGAAAGACGAAACAATCGATTAAAATAGTTTGGAAGATTTTTTGTAAAGAGTTTTAATTGATATAAACGTTGTCAGTATCGGTTAAAAAAATCTGGAAAATAATCAAGAACGTTTTAATGGATTAAAAGAAGATTTAACAGATAAAAACAAGACTTTTAACAGATTAAAAGATTATTTTAACAGATTAATTAAACCAGCGAGTTTTAAAAATCTTCTATATAAACGAGAATTGTTTAACCTTTTCTATATACATCTTTTGGCAATCAATCAAGCAATCAAAAGTGCTACTTTCAAGAAAGAATCACGCTAATTTTTGTGAAGTTAATCAAAGTTCTTTCTTGAGGCAAAATTGCATTCTTTTGGAGAAGAAACACATATTGCAGAACTTCATAAAACTGGTTTGAGCGTTCTAAATTTCTTCTCTTTGTTTCCTTACTTTCTTTTACTGTATTGTGGGTGCCTTGAATTGTGGGCACTAGTTTCTGTAGCTGGAATTTGGCTGCAGGGTAGGTCAAGAACTGGAATTTGGTTCTTGGTGAAAGGTTAGGTGCAAGAACTGGAATTGTGGTTCTCGTGGTAGATTGAGTGTGAGGTTAAGATTGTAATCTGTAAAACATTCAATCTAGTGGAACCCAGCTGGAATTTGGCTGGAGATTGGACGTAGCCTTGGGATTGGGTGAACCAGTATAAACCTTGGTGATATTTTTCTAAACCTTTATCCTCTTTAATTCTGTGACTGCATTTATTTTTGATTGCTTGCTGTGTGATTCAAGAACTGGTCAGATTTCTTAATCTTTGAAATAGATAATCTGTTAATTGCGAAAATCTTTCAAAGATCAATTCACCCCCCCCTCTTGATCTCAGCCTACATTTCTAACACGTCGCTCTGACCGCCTCGTTTTGACGACAGCGACACTGGCGCAAATTGTAGATGTTGCGGTTGATGCCAGCAAAGTCGTCCGTGTACTATTGTTGTTGTTGTTGTTGTTGCTGCTGTTGTTGGAACTCCGGGTGTGTCGAGAGATCTTGCATTGCTACGAGGTCCAAGATATCCAAAGTTATGTCCAGCGAAGGGTGGAGGATCAACCGGGTCCCTTGGCGTAGCAGCATCCCCATGCTGACCAGGACACACCTGTTAATAGTTTCGGGTCGGAGGCTGGAGGCCAGTTCTTCCCTACCACTCCACCCCCATTTTTCTGCCAGCGGGGTGATGAGGGGAGCCATGAGGATGGCTCCCACAGGCCGGCTCCCGAAGTCCTTGAGGGTTTTCAGGAAGAAATAGTCGGGGTTGCACCGACGCCTCTAACTCATGCAGTAGAGGGCGAAGAGATCTAGGAGGGTAACCTTACCCTGACTCTCTTTCCGCCCGTGGACCGTCTCGGCCAGCAGCTTGTGGAAGATACGGAGGCCAGGGGGAAGTGCGGAGCCCTTCAGCAGTGTCAGCAGGATGTGCACCCTCAACTCCTCCCATATTTCGCCGGCGGTGAGGTTAGTGGGGCGTGCGCAGATGGCCTCCTGGTAATCCCGAGTTAGGATGTCCTCGGGCTGGACGAACCCGATGGACACATTGAAGTCGTCCAGGGTGGTGGTCCGGTACATCCCGCCCATGAAGTACGTCACCATCTTTGTTGGGGGGAGGCCCGGTACCATGGAGGGAGTCTCGAAGTAGGAGATGGAGGCGAGAAATTCTATCACTGCCTGAGGGTATACGTGGGTGGGTGGAGACTGGAGGAGGAAGCGCCACCCTATGTTGTCGATGTGGGTGCGGATGTCGTCTTCCCATCCGAACTCGGCAAGGATGCCGAAGTCCAATCTCAGCATGGGGTGCCAGGTATATCCCCGGACATGCTCTAGGTGGGCCTGGTGTAGTGGCGAAAGTTGTGTGGGATCTTGCGGGGTAGGGGCTGAGGAGCTACTGGGGCCGGCAGAGCCTCTTCTCTTTCTGGATTGATCTCCTCGATGCATTTTGGTGGTAGGATGCTTGAAAGTGAGAGAAAGGAGGGTAGGAGTGCAAGAGAGGGTGTTTGAACCCCCCCCCCCCCTAGGCCCCTCTATTTATAGAATTTTCGGCCAACCTCGGGACCGCCGTTTGGAACCTCGAGACGGCGGTCTCGACTTTGGCCTTAAGCGAGACGGCAGTCTCGATTTTGGTCAAGTGAGATGGCAGTCTCGTTTTACTGAAAATCGAGATGACGGTATGGACCTACGAGACGGCGGTCTCATTTTTTAGAGGCTTTTTTTTTTTTTAAGGAAATAGGACCTTATTCAAAAACATTTTATGCATGCAATGTTTTCATGATTGATGCCCTATGATGCCTATTTCATTAGTTTTTCAGAAGGATTTAACTGACATGTCTTGTAGAGACGGGTGTCCTCTGATCTACGTTCCTTCTGCTGTACTTGGTTGTACCATTCCGGACCTCAAGTGACCGAAGAATAATTTTTCTTTTCGTTCTTTCTTTGCTTTTTCTTTTTCTATTTTTTTTTGTAGAGCACACTTTGCCATGTTAGTCTCCCTTTTTCTTCACTTTAGGGGTTTCAATCCTCTTGTTGACTATACACCTCCATATTCCCAAACTAATTGTTAGAATAATGTCGTGAGGGTCAAGAGAAAAGAAGTAAAAGGGAAAATTCAAAGGCTTGTGTTTTAGACGGTTAATTTTTGTTTTTCGAAAGGATTTTGTAAGAATGGTTGGCTAAGGTTAGGCCTAGGTGTTTAGGTTTTTGTCTAAGCAAACCTTTTTTTTTTCTTTGTATTTTTGCCTTAGCTTATTTCCATTGCTTGTTATGGCTGGTTGATTTCCCTAGATCGCCCTTTGGGTTTTTGAACTAGGATATTGTGTTTTTAGTCCTATCTTTTGTCTAGGTTCCATTTTTTTTTGCTTTGTTTAGGGAATCCTAGCGGACCTTATTTTGTAACCCTAACTTTTGCCTAGGCTACCCTTTATTTTTGTTCGGGTGTCCTACCGGGTTGACCCTATCTTTTGCATAGCCCCCTTAGTGGGTTTCCTACCGGGTATTTTGCCCCTTTTTTGGCCTTTGGCTTCTATGAGCTTGTTTCAAACCATATAATGCTTTCTTTAATTTAAAGATATGATTAGGATAACTAAAATCTTCAAATCCAGGGGGTTGCTCCACATAAACTTCTTCTTTAATAAACCCATTCAAAAATGCACTCTTAACATCCATTTGATATAATTTAAATTTCATCAATGATGTATAAGCAAGAAGTAGGCGTATAGCCTCTAACCTGGCAACAGGAGCATAAGTTTCATCATAATCAATACCTTCCTCCTGACAGTAGCCTTTGGCGACAAGTCTGGCTTTATTCTTTATTATATTACCATCTTCATCAAGTTTGTTTCGAAATACCCATTTAGTTCCAATTACTTGATGTGATTCTTCTCTTGGGATTAATTCCCAGACTTGATTCCTTTCAAATTGGTTAAGTTCCTCTTGCATAATTGTGCACCATTGGTCATCTTTAAGCGCTTCCTCAACATTTTTGGGTTCTATCTGTGACACAAAAGCTACAGACACGTAGAAATTTGTCATATTTCTAGTTCTTACCCCTTTTGAGATATCACCAATAATATTGTCCATTGAGAGTTTTCTTAGTGATTGCCATTCTTTTGCTAATTCAGGTGTTTGAGAAGGCTCATTTTCTTCCAAGTACAATTCATCAGGAGCCTCTCTTATGTACTCATCATCACCTCCAAGTTCTTTATTTGACTCAAGAGGATTTCCGCTCAGGTCTACAATTTCATCAAAAGTAACATGTATAGATTCTTCAACATTTAAGGTTCTTCTATTAAACACTTTATAAGCTTTGCTAGTTAATGAATAACCTAAGAAAATGCCCTCATCGGCTTTTGAGTCAAATTTTCCTAAGTTGTCCTTTCCATTATTTAACACAAAGCACTTACATCCAAATATTTTCAAATGAGCAACATTAGGCTTTCTACCATTTAACAATTCATAGGGAGTTGATTTTATAATTGACCTAATGAGCATCCTATTCAAAACATAACATGCAGTACTTACAACATCAGCCCAAAAATATTTAGGAACATTTGATTTATCTAACATTGTTCTAGCAAGTTCCTCTAGTGACCTATTTTTCCTTTCAACTACACCATTTTGTTGGGGAGTCCTAGGAGCAGAAAAATTATGCAATATTCCATTTTCCTCACAATAATTTTCAAACTTTTCATTTTGAAACTCACCACCATGGTCACTTCTTAAAACTTTAATTCTTAGGTCTTTCTCATTTTGAATTTGCTTTGCAAACTTTCTAAAGACCTTAAAAGCTTCACTTTTCATTGTCAAGAAGAATGTCCAAGTATATCTAGAAAAGTCATCAACAATTACAAGTCCATAATAATTTCCACCAAAGCTTTTTATCATAGAAGGACCAAATAAGTCTAAATGTAATAATTCTAAAGGTTTTGATGTGGAAATGACACTCTTTGATTTAAATGATGATTTTACTTGTTTACCTTTTTGACATGCATCACATAACCTATCTTTTTCAAATTTTAACTTACGCAAACCAATAACTAAATCCTTTGATATCAATTTGTTTAAATGATGCATATTTATATGAGCTGCTCTCTTATGCCATAACCAAGGGTCTCTTCCTTAGCAACTAAGCATGTTATACTAGAATCATGTAAACAATCCAAATCAATCAAGTATATGTTATTATGCCTAATGCCTTTTAATGCTACATTTTCGGAATCTATCAAATGTATGGTGCAAAATTTACTTTCAAATATTACCTTAAATCCTTTGTCACATAGTTGACTTATACTTAGGAGATTATGCTTTAGCCCATCAACAAGAAGCACATCCTTAATCTCCAAAGTGTTTGCACCACCTATATTTCCAACTCCAAGAATTTTTCCTTTGTTGTTGTGCCCATAAGTTACATATCCTTGTTCTTTAGCTTTGAAACTCACAAATTTCGTTTTATCACTGGTCATATGCTTTGAGCATCCACTATCAAGATACCACATAGACTTCTTTGATTTGGAAGTTTCCTACAAAACAAGAACATAGTAAACTTAGGTCCCCATAACTTTTGGTTCCTTGAGGTTAGAGATAAACAAATTATTTAACAATAGGAACCCAAATGTATTTTCATTTAGGAACACCAAAATGTTTGATTTTACATCTATTTGAAGTATGACCATTTTTCATACAATAAAAACATGCTTTAGATGTAGCTTTTGAATATGATGCATTTCTAACAATAGATGATTTAGTTCCTTTTCAACCCATACTCTTCTCTTTTTAATTTTAGGCTTTTTCAAAGGAACTTGATGGTTTACTCTATTTTGAGCTATAACAACTTTATCTTTATTAATGTTACTTATCTCCATTTCGGCTTTATCTAGCAAATGATTAAGTATATCAATGTCATATTCATACTCTTTAAAAGATGCACATGCTATGTTCTTTTCATCATTCTCATCTAAGCATACAATTTTCGTTTCTATGGTTTCCTTTTCCTCTAAACATGCAATTTTCGTTTTTAAGGACTCCACCTCCTTTTCGGATCTACTTAAACTCTTTTTCACAACTTTATATTTATTTTTCAAGTCCTTAAAGGCACTAAACAATTCATTATATGTATTTTGCAGTTCATCATAATTATTTTCATCATCACTTGAAGATGAGTCGGAATCACTTACCTCAAAGTCGGAGGATATGTTGTCATTTGCCATTAAGCAAATATTGGCTTCAATTTCCGAGTCACTTGATTCCGAACTTGAATCACTATTGTCCCAAGCGATATAGACTTTCTTCTTGAAGAACTTTTTGCCTTTGTTTTCTTCATTTTTCTTGTTTGGACATTCGGTCTTCACATGTCCTTTTTCACCACAACCATAACATTTGATATTTACAGAAGAATTTTCTCTTACCTTTCCTTTACCTTGAATGGATGTCTTCCTTTGGCTTTCATGAATTTTGTGAACTTCTTAATCATGAGACTCAATTATTCTTCTTCATTCTCCGAGTCTTCTTCTTCCCTTTTACTCTTACCTTTAGAAATTTCAGTTTTGAAGACTAAGTTCTTCTTTTGATATTGTCTTTCCTCATCATTTTGCCTTCCAAGCTCAAGCTCATGCTCTCTCAACTTTCCAAAGAGCACCGCCATAGACATTGTGGCAAGGTTTTGTGACTCCGAGATGGCCGTCACCTTAGGTTGCCATTTCCTATCCAAAGATTTCAATATTTTCACATTTAATTCATCAACGTAAAAAATTTTACCTAATCCGGTGAGGTGGTTCACAATATGAGTGAAACGCTTTTGAACGTCAAATATCGTTTCACCTTGTTGCATCCGGAACATCTCGTATTCTTGAATTAAATAATTTTTCCGTGCTCTCTTAACGTTGTCAGTTCCTTCGTGGGTCACTCTCAACATTTCCCACATCTCCTGAGCACTTTTACAAATAGAGATCTTGTAAAACTCGTCAAGGGTTAAAGCAGATGAAATAATATTTCTAGCCCTAACGTCAAATTGAGATTTTCTATTTTCCTCTGTTGTCCATCTAGAAAATGATTTTGTCCGGACATTTTCAAAAAATTTGAATGACTATCAAAGCAAGCTCTGATACCACTTGTTAGAATCGTGCAGAAAAATGTTTGTGTGGATGGACAAAAACCAAGGGGGGGGGGGTGAATTTGTTTCTTAACAAAAATTAGGTTTTAAAAATTTTCCCCAAATTTTACCGATTAAAATACTGTGTAAATGTAAATAAGAAAAGGATAGAGTCTTACACAAGAGATTTATACTAGTTCGGATCAAAAGACCCTACGTCCAGTTGCTAATCACTCAAATAGAGGATTAACGCTGTCACTATAATCAAAGTTATACAAGCAAATTACAAATGAAAAAAGATAAAGTAACGAAAACACCTCTCTTGAGTCCCACAAGAGATGAAGAACAACTTTCC